GAAAAGAAGTACGATGAAGCGGAGCAGTTGCTCATATGGATTAGCACTGGGAATCAGAGTTTACTGATAATTGCAAGGCAAAGGCAGCCAATTGTGTGCATTAATTTTTAGTTCGATTTTGAAGAAATGAAGGAAAAAGAAATCAATCATTTGAATGTGCGTTGGCTGGCATCTAAGCATTCAGCTGCCTTGGTAATTACAAGAAATTGGTAGGCTTACCTACCAATTTCCTGTAATTACCTTGAGAGCGGGAGGGGGTAGGAGGGGTCTCGAAGAACGCACAGAACTTTCTGCACTTCTTCCTCTCTACAGTTGTAGTATGCATTAGTCATTTCTTTGACTAGACATAGTTCAATTTTTAGTGTTGCTCAATAATCTGGCTTCACTGCGTCCAAACAATATAAGATTTCAGAAAGCGGTAGATAGGACGCGATATTAGCAACGTAGATGACAACGATACAGCCCCACAAAAATATAAAGGCTAAGTTGCAAGTTGTACCTCAGAGATTCTATAAAAGCGAGCAAAGTCGGACTAGCCACTTAGTGTTTCGATGACATTGAAATGAGGAATTGTTGCGCCCAACAAGTTCATTGTTGAAAAATGAACTCATGCAATTATTAGTCGCTATCAAACCAACTAAACAAGATCATGGAAGGACATATGGGAGGTGAAATAGTTAGTGCGGGGCGATTGCTCATTTGAACAATAGACGAGCATAGCGAAATAAAGACGTTGAGAAAGCATGATAATTTAGCAAATTAGTTCTTTTCTGAGCAGTTAAGACAAGGAAGAAAATTTACAGGGGAAGGATGCTTAGTCGAAATAACGATTCCACAGTCGATGCATACTATTAGATGCGGTTTCAGACGCTAATTCCAAATCTGCCTTCCATATTTGCGAAGCGTTTCTCCGGAAGAAGTTATGAGAGTTTGAAAATGCCAAAGTTAGAACCGCCTCTATCAAAGTGAACTAATGTTTCGTGAAGGAAGCGGGAGATAGTGTAGTGGTAAGTCTGCGGTTTGGTAAGCTGATTGGCGAAGGTTCAAAGGAGCGAAGGGAATTTGAGTATGGAATCTCTATGATGTAATGAAAAATCGACCTCGTGGGCATGTACACATGAGATGAAACGTTTCTACATAGTTTTATACGTTAAAAAAGTGGTGTCCTCATCTCGAAATCTGTTTAAAACCATCACTCAGGTGAAAATGCGTCATTCATTCATGACGCATGAATACTTGAGAAAATGCAAAAATGCTTCAAGTGGGAGGAATCAACCTGCGCCAATCAGCTTAACAAACCGCACACTTACCACTGCACTGCCTCCCGCTCCGTTCGGGAACCATTGGTTTACCTTGATAGAGGTGATGCTATCGCTTGAGAATTTCAAACGCAAACGCTCATAACTTCTTCCATAGAAGCGCTTCGCAGATATGAAAGGCAGGCTTGGAATCAGCATCTAAAACTGCATTCACTAGTATAGTATAGTATACATCTCTTCTTGAATAGTCATTTCTACTAAGTATCCTTCCCGTTAGTAATAAGAGGGATTCAGAGTGATAATATATGCACCTTGCTGAATTTCCAATTGCAATTTATGCAAAAAATCAGAATTTATTAATAGATGCCGCGTAGCCGGGTTTGCCAGCTAGTAAATCACATGGAGGAGTTCTGTTGTCCTCGTGGAATGGTTCCTGCCTGTGGACCTCACACTTCCGTGCAAAATTTCTGGAGGTACGAATCTTACACAGGTATTTCAACCTTCACGACCTTTCAGATTTGTCATAGGAAAACGATTTGACGAAATATAAAAGTAAAATGCGAATGGCATGGACATGGCTAGCCAAAATGTTACCCAAAGTTATCTACGATGCTTATCCAAGAAATTCAACTGAACGACGGAATAGCGATATAGGTAGGTATTCAACTATGAATGGTTCAACAGAAGCTTCAACATAAATATCGTGCATTAATCCGCATTTTCCACGTTCCCAAACAAACCTTTGGATGTCAACTTTTGTTTAAAGAGGAAAAATTGATGGACATAAAGAAGATGTGGGACATATAATCCTTGGGACGTGCCACCTACTTGATTTATGGGCTGTGAAAACCGACACTGTGGCGTCAAAGCCATGTACTCGAAAACCAATTGATGCAGGGTTTTCTGTTTGGAACTCTGAAAGTAACAATCGCTTTGCTCAGTGAGAAAGTTTTAGCGTTCTACATCTTATCCTACCTTGAAATAATGCATTGAGAGGCACGCAAGTATGGTCTGAATCCAATGTGAGCTTGAAGTAAGCGTTTCTCTCTGTTGAAGTTTCCGTGAACATCGTGGTGAATGGGATGTTAGTTGTGTTGATAGTTGTGACTTGAATAGCAAATCTCGCGGAAATTTTACTAGAAGGAAAGAGCGATCAGATACCTTGCGTGCCTAAGCAATGAGCAGCAAAGTGCACTGCGGTAGACGAGGGCATCAACTCTCCGATAAAAAATGGGATTTTCACGCTTTCCATCGTACCTAAGCGTCATAAGTGGTAGCTTGGGGTCTTACGGATGAGACAAAATTTTGTTACACTTATTGAATGCTTGAGGCTGTCATGGCTCTGGGGCTAATTCTTATTACTCATATAGAACTATAATGGTAACTTTTAGATTAGATGATCTCCAATTGGATATGGGAACTTTTTTAGAATGCGAACCATAACAATAAGGTCCTTCTGTAGTAGACCGAATGTGCAACCATCTAAATATGTGACTACTTTCGTACAGCAGCTTTCTCGCTTCTCCTCTATATCGTCTTTGCTGAGATATTAAGTGAAAGTACAAAGATGAAGGTAAGCTGAACAAAGTTTTAGTACCTGGATTATCAATAACAATTTGTTTTGAGGTCGACTGAAGTGTTGATCGGATGTTTATCTGAATTTTGAAACTAAAGAAACTTACTCGAAAAGATTTCAGGAAGTGCACTTAAACGCTATAATGATTTTAAAAAAACTTCTTACTTTCACACTGTCTACGCCTTCCATACCGTGGAAGGTCATTGTTAATGGACATATCGGAGCACCTTGTCTCGCTTCGTGTTCTATCTGAAAAACCTTAAAATATGACTAGTATTTGAAGTAGAGCTCTGATCACCGTGAAAAGATGAAAACATACTGTTGCCTTCTCAAGCTCCCCAGCCGAGCAATTCATGATCAAGGCACCACCCTTCTTTTCCAGTCCTAAAGCTAAAGCAATCCACTGAGATTTCAAAACTGTACGTATACTGGCTACGCTCCTACATTATTGAGGCTGAAGAACTGAGTTTATTCTTTACCTTTAACTTACCCATATTTCCGCTATCTTTAATCGAAGCCTCGATTTCTCTCATCTCTTGAATTTTGACCTTAAAGTCAATGAAACGATTGTCCATGGAAACCTGAACTAGTGGCTGTTGTTCATTCAGAAGATGGTGAGAGAAACCTTGCACCTTATATAGATTTGGCTCAGTTCCTAGATAACCAATCGACAATCTTCCTGCGGCAGACAACATGGAAAGAAGGTTTTGATTCGTTGAGCTAAAGAAAATTT